TGGCAGTGGAATAGAGAGTTTGGTACTTCTCTGAAGTTTTATTTTTAAGACGAGATAATGAAATTCGGTTGTTAAATCTTCATCTGTCTCCTTGAAATTATAGTTACTTGAAACGTTTTTCTTATTGCAAACATGTAATCTTTGTCACTGTCACATGAATTCTTGTTATGAAATGCTACATGTCCTCTGATTTTTCATATGCTTCCTGGCATCTGGATATCTGTGACTTTAATAAAAAATAGGATTGCATGGTTGCTTGAGGGTTGAAATAATCATAATTTTTGTTCTGCAGGTCTCACAATGTTCTTTGAGGGACCTACTTCTGCATTGTTGTGTGGATGAGGCTCCTGATGTTCGACAAAGTGCCTTTGCTTTACTTGGTGACCTTGCAAGAGTAAGTTGAACGAATATTCCCTCCACTTAAGGAATATACTGATTCACATAGCCACTAACTAGATCTCAGTTTGTGAACTCAAGTGAGAAAGGGGGTGGTATCCTAACTTACTTTGTAATCTGCCTAGGTGTGCCCAATTCATTTGCGCCCTCATTTGTCTCAGTTTCTTGAGGCTGCTGCGAAGCAGCTGGTATGTTGGTACCTAGTATAACTTTTAGCTTATGGGTTGCATTTATTCAACCTTTTGTTGATTTATCATGCATGTTGTACAGGAAATTTCTAAGGTAAAGGAAGCTATTTCAGTAGCAAACAATGCGTGCTGGGCTATTGGAGAATTAGCAGTTAAGGTATGTCAATGTTAAATGTTGCATTCTGTTCATTCTTGGTATAACTGTTTGGCACTGTGGGACTGTGGGTTCACATATGCTTCAAATGGTTTCATGTGTAATTTTGCTTGAACTACTGTAAAGATTATTTGGTGTAGTTTCTATAGATAGTATTAAAAATATGTCAATAACGTTCCATAACTATATATATATATATATCTATTAGCTTCTTTGATGGAATCTCGTGCTTTCATGAATGTTTATGTAAGATGGTTTAAAATGAAAGGCATGCCCTATAATATTAATCTCCTGCTGTCCAGAGAGAAAATGGAAATATTGTCCAAATTTAAGGCTTTGGACGTTCTTATTTCCCAACCTTATTTCTATCTTTTGGGCTGTTGTTCATTGAAAGGTTCCCATAATGCTTTTAGTTTAGCAAAACTAATCTTCGGTGGATAATAATGGATGAGTGCATGGCTGTTGGTTTTAGCATGCAGGAAAATTGTGTTATATATACATTTCTGACTGTTAGAACTCCATATTTCAATTCCAGGTTCATCAAGAGATTTCTCCTGTTGTTTTGACGGTTATTTCATGCCTGGTCCCAGTTCTTCAGCATGCAGAGGTTACTGTCTTATCTCACAATTCAATAGTTCAATTATGACCCGTGTTTTATTGCTGATTGTCTTGCTGTTTGTTCTGTTTGTTAGGGAATCAACAAGTCGCTTCTAGAAAATAGTGCAATAACTCTGGGGAGGCTTGCATGGGTATGTCCAGAGCTTGTATCACCGCATATGGAACATTTCATGCAATCTTGGTGCATGGCTTTGTCAATGTATGTTACTGCTTTTTGATACTTTTTTTCTTTGGTATTGTGACCATTTATTACTTTTGCTTAATGATTTACAAATATACTATTTTCCCCCCGTTTTTACTTCCATTATCATGATGTGCACCCTGTTCTGATCTATGATACAAATGATTGGTTGAAAATCATAATCATTCTTATAGGAATTTGTGCCTTTATTCTTCTTTCTTTGTTACTTCCTATCGGACTTGGTTCATGTTTTCATTACTTCACATGTTCTGGAGGGGCCTGAGCAATTCCTCCCTCTCTCCCCCCCTCTCCGCTCCCCTCCAACCAAAATAGTGTAAGAGTAGCAAGAAGGGGAGGGACTCCTTATCCTATTGAGCAGGGTGCTAATAACGTGCTGGAAAAGCTAGTCCAGGGGTGCTTAGCAGGCATCTAAAGGAGGGATGCTGCTAAGAGGCACTTTGAATGATCTTGTGGAGATTCTAACTCGTGCCTGTGGGGACTTCTTGTTTTAGTCCTTCAACCATTTTTGTCAACCCATATTGGCATCAATCATCTTAGTATTAATTAAGTCCTTAATTATTGATAACTATGTTGGAAAATAGCACTTATATAATATTATAATGTAATGTAGGAAATTTCTAGCCCAAAAATATCTTTTGTTTTTTAAATAATAACCAAGAAAAATGTTCAAATATCAGTTCTGGTAATTGTCCCCCTCCAAAAATAAAGAATAAAAAAATTGCTTGTGAAAGGTATTAATTGTGTTTTTACTTTGAAACTCACATAGAAGGGGAGAGTGGGGTTGATCACTTGCGTAAGCTCTTAGAGAACTTCACTTCCAAAATGAGCAATAGTTTAGATGTACTCTGTTTCATTAAGTTATCTTGCTTATTGATTTACCTTGAATGATTTGTGGCAGTATACGGGATGATATAGAGAAAGAGGATGCTTTTAGAGGGCTATGTGCTATGGTAAGCACCTATTCACTAAGAGTGTGCAACATGTGAACTGCCCATGTGATTGGATCTTTCCATTTGTTTTCAGGTCAGAGCTAATCCTTCAGGGGGTTTAAGTTCGCTTGTTTATATGTGCAAGGCCATTGCTAGTTGGCACGTATGTATCCCATGTCATCATCATCTTGAAATTATGATGCTTTTAGGTTTTTGTGACTAAAAGACTGTTGATGTATGTCTACAGGAAATAAGGAGTGAAGATTTACACAATGAAGTCTGCCAGGTCTTGCATGGATATAAACAGGTTTGTATTGCTTCTCTGCCAGTCACGTCTATCTAGCAATTATTTAACATGACTGAAGCACACACGAGAATGCACACATAAATGAATTTCTACTATTTATAATAATGATAAGTATCTATCCTCCTTGTTAAGGCAATTGGATAATTAGTTGATAACTCTGGAAATTTTTAAGCCGTGCTGCTTGATTTTAATCCTGCAATTTTGTTTCAATCTTATCTGTTAATTTTGATCCTGTGGTGGCTACTAACTGATCCTTTCTTACAATAGACACTCCTTTTGCTTGATATATTACTACACGTTTAGCACACGGAAAATTATTTTCTAAAAAGGAAATGAAAAATGTATTTAGAAAGAAAATGGGATAGGTGTATTTCTCATTTCTGTTTTAGAAAACACTTTTCTACCTACCAAACATTGTATTAGTCTATGTTTTGATTATGTGAACTAACTGGTGAGGATTATGTTCTGTGTTAGATGCTGCGCAATGGAGCCTGGGACCAGTGTATGTCTGCTTTGGAGCCCCCCGTAAAAGACAAGCTTTCAATATATCAAATATAATGGTTATTTTCAAGATTAACTTCATTACTTGCCAGTGAATACCAGTTTACACTTTATGAAGTTTCTATCTGCGTGGGGCCTTGTTAGTCATTGTGCATTATCCGGCAAGATCGGAGTGACGGTTCATTTCAAGCGAGGGTATACACACTGTCCAAGTTTTCAGTTGCAGGCATCAATACTTCATCCAATTCATTTGAGCATGTTGATTAGAGGTAGTTCCTCAAAAGCTTACAATATCTCAGTTCGTGTTTCCATTGGGAAAAACTGCTGCTGACGGGCGAAACGTACTGTGATGTACAGGGGAAGTCTTCCAAACTCTGAGCGCTGTATTCATTGTTTTGTCCGTATGTTTGAAGGCTAAAATTTTTATTTGAGCCTTGTGTTGATCATTACAGTGTTTGATTAGTAATTTTAGTTGATAGGTCTTGAGAGTCTACAAAAGTAATAGGGTTTGCGTCTTAAATTCTTCGATTTTGCAAGGATGAGCTGAGCTTGACATTTTGTAGTCTCCATCGTATTTGAATGATTACATTGGTTGTAAGTTGTAAAATATATTTCAAACGGTGATCTGGTACATATGCTGCCTTGAAAAGTGTAGCATTTGGATTTTGATTTGAGGAGCAATAAACACTCAAACGTGTCAAATGTTTTATAGAACTATGTTACCAAAAGATGGCAACAGTTATTTGTGCAGTTTTCTCTTGTTGGTATGTCCTGGATGCTCTCTCCGTCAAGATGCAAAATATCTTTTTAATTATAAAATTTGACAAAAAAAAAAAGTTAAGTGCTTGGATGTAAGTATTTTTGTTCAATAAAAATCTGCAGTCAACGTTCACTAGCACAAAAATGATGATATATTCAAAGAGATTCTAAAACTAAAAAGAGAGAACTGTGAGGAAAAGTTATCTTTGTGCATGCAATGTATGAAGTTAATTTAGTTAGAAAAATCACGCGTAAGTGATTGGTTGGTCTGTTTTCTCGCATTTAGTGGGGGAAAAAATATTTGCCTAACCTAACCTCCTGTTTGGTTAGGAGGGAGGGAAATTTTGTTTGGATGGGCCATAGACCCCTCCTCTTGTTTGGCTAATAAATTTTCTTTCCCCCTCTTTCCAAGCTCTCCCCTCCAAGTTGGGAGGATTGGAAGAGATTCCTCCCTCTCTTCTCCCTTCCTTTTCCCCCTCTCTCCCCTCTCTTATAAGTGTTTTAGTTCACGTTTAGTTATTAAAAAAGAATTGAATAGAATAAATTAAAAAAATTAATATAAAAATAAATTAAATTATCCTTCCTTCTTATAGTAAGTATGATAAAATTTATTAATTTATGTTATAAATGTAAATCATCACATCCTCTAAAAATTTTATTAATCATGATTTCTAACGTTATGAATTAAATTACTCCCTTCCTTTATGAATAATTTTTTTTATCATCTCATTTTTACTATTATTTTTCCAATTCATTTCATTTTATTTTTTTTTAATAACCAAACATGACCTTAGCTGTCTAGTTGTCTTTTTTTTTTCCCCCTTCAAGTTTTAGTTGTGAGACTTATGATTATTTGATGTTTCATTCTTAGAAGTAGTTCATTTTACCAAAATAATTTAAACTACTTGGTTAGACATGCTCCCAACTCTAATTTATATATTCATGATGGGATTAATGGATTCGATAAAAGAAGGTCGGGTCGGGTCGGATTCGGGTGGCCGGATGCTCGCTTGATTTTTGTTCCCTAGGTATCTTCATTATTATAGGCCGATTCAATACAAGTCTGCAAATTTGGCACATTCACCCCCATATGATCATATTATTACTAACAAAATGTGGAAAAAGGATTGCCAACACAGTTGCTTCGGTGGGAGACGCAGGGAGTCTGTGGTGGCTTGAGGAACTGAGTCTTTCTTGCTGCCATTTCATGTATCGTCTGCCATCTCTGCTTTCTCTTCAAATCTTGTTGGCGTGCTTCTAATTCTCTGGCTTTCATGTCTTGGAGGCCCTTGGAGTACAGAACCGGATCCATTTCTTGCAGCATTAACTTGACACTCTCTGTCAGTTGCCTCACGCTCTTGCTCCAATGCCACTTGAGGTTATTCTCCATCCCTTGTACTATCACCGGAAATACTTCCACCATCGCCGTTGACGCCATCCTCACGAACTGCTCGTTGTTCCATACATACAGCGCTCGCTCTGCTACCTGCGCCAAATTTACGTTTCACCCCATCCATATCTGATGATCACTAATCAGAGAAAGATGGATGATTTACCTGGGAATTCCAGCTGTTGATGCATTTGGTGATGTGGGCACATAGGGACAGAGCCAGCTTTCGATAGTGATCAGGTTCCAGATTCTCCACCAGCTCTTCCAACTGCCCAATCAGCAAAACCTCCTTCTGGCAGTTTGTGACGGGCCAGTATCTCAGAATCCCTCTAACAACAATCCCTCCGAGCATAGGATCCTTCTGCACAAACTGTGACACACAATAAGCCAATTGCCTGTGGTACATTGGCAGCCCTTTCGTCTTGTGCAGAGGAATCAGAACTCTCATCAGGAACAACTTGTGCTCTTCCTTCAGCGGCACCGTGAATCCATTAATTATTGTCCCCCATATCTCCAGCAACTCTGCTATACCTGCATGCTTCTCCGTCTCGAATGCGTAGTTCAACAGGACGTCGCTCATCGATTTCCTGATGAAGGAACGCTCGCAAGTGAACTTGGAATATATTTTGTGGTACACGTTCTTCAAGCTCTCCCGTTCCCTTGGATCCTCAGACTGGAACAAAGCTAAGACCTTGAGAAGGAACGGATGATCTATATACTCCCTCAGGACTTCTGGGTCTGCGACCATAACAAGCCTGAGCAGAATTTCGTATACGATTTCGAGATGTGACCATATGGGTGAAAATGCGGAGATGGTATCTTCGTCGTCAGGACAGTCTGCGACAGTGGAGGGATTTGCCCGATGAGGGAGTGGTCGGAATAGATTGAGAGAGATCATTGAAACTAGGGGCTCCAGAATTGTCGTTGGAAGCGGCTTCTTGAATGACTTGATGATAGGGAGAAGCTTGCCGAGCTGGAGGCGCTTGAAGTCTTGCCGTGACGGAGACCCTGAAGGATCGTTGAAGGCTGACTCAGAGGAGCAGCATGAAATAACACACAGAATCTCTTCGTTTCCTGAATTCGGAGAAGACGCGACGCCAATGCAGTTGGGCAAAGCTGGTTTATCCTGCTCAAATAGGTTCTGGAGTGTGATTGAATTTTTCTTCGGGCTAAATGATGTTCGCATTTGATTTCTGTGCGAGCCCATGGTACTCTCCATTGCCTCTGCTTTGTGCTTCTGATCTTGAGGTGGTGTTTTTGGCGGTGTCTTGTTTAAATCTCTAGCAAGAGCCAAGGAGATAGAGAACCTAGGAATCTTCATTCAACTTCACTGCTAGTTTTGAGGGTGCATAGAAGAAGGCGACGATACGGATGCTCTCTGAACAAGAAGAGTTGAAAAGTCCGATGCGTCCGCGAATCTTAAAAGCCTCTGTTCTATTGTACAGAAGGTCCGGTATCTTCCTACGTTGTTTCTGCTACTTCCATCTGGGGTGTTTGACACGGGGTTTTTCTATGCTTTACTGAACCTAGCTCCCAACAACAGGTTGTATCGAATTGAATTCATGAGCGAAGCAACAAGACAAACTGCTGATTGAGACATATGCGCATTGCATGTGTGGCCAACGGTGAAGTGGGGGCCACATAACACCGAAAACGTTGGCTTGTCAGAGGTGAATACGGAGGCTAATGTTGTTTTTCAAATCATTAATCATTGTTTCGGGGTTATGTGACGATTCTTTCACGTGCGCTGGGGATGGATGGATCTGCCGACTGTCCTGCTTGAATTCACTTGGAATTTCTTGATTCAGAACGTCATATACCTCTACCTCGTCTAATTTATATCAATACATAACCTAAGGAGAGTTATGGAAGATCCGGGTGAACGCTTGTTTAGAACAAGAAAACAACGCACCATTTTAATTCAGCAATACATAACCTTCGAATTGTCGGCCACCTCGAAACTAATCAGTCAAGGCATGTACAGAAGCAGAGAAATATGCAAGCGCACAGGAAAACAGACGCGTACACGCACGCTTGTCTGCAGTCGTCAAAAAGCTATGAACTTGTATTTTGGAAATCGAAGCACTGAATGAACAAGAGGCAACAATATGTCGAGGTGTGTTTTCGTGAGTCGGGCCATTTGGAGTGAGCTGGAATAGACAAGCACGCGAGTTTCAAATGGTAAATGATTGAGACGTATACTATAGAATTGTTAGAATTAATTAATGTACCCTCTAATCATCAATAGATATTTGCGGTCAAGTGTGGCCAGTGGTGTGTGCGCATTTGCAAAATCTTGAGTATTTTATACATATATATATATATATATATATACTCCCATTCAAAATATAAGTAATTTTAAAAAAAAAATCTGCATACCAATAAATCCTCCATTTTCATAAAAATATATTCTCTTTCTTAAAAAATATAATGTATTTTTTAAAAAATTAAATGTTAAAAAATATAAGGTATTTTAGTCTTTCAATATGTAATTATTGTCTTTTTTTTTTAAGTGTCTCTATTGATAAATAATTTTATATTTATTATAGGGTGTTTAATAGGAGTAAATATGAAAAGATATAATTAGTTTGAAAGTAAGTAACTACTTTATTGGGGGTCAGATTTGATCAAAAATGCTTTATATTTTTAAATAGAGGGAGTATATAATTTTTTCTTTTTACCTCTAGTTCAAATTACCAAAACACTTCATGATGAGTGAGAGATACACTTACACAAATATTTAGGTTAATAAATACAGTGAATAAAATGGTGAAATTTTTTCACATATATTAGATTATTTATATTTTAAATTAAAATTAATTAAGAGAAAACACTTATATTTTGAATAGGAGGTAGTACCTTTTTGCAACACCGTTTTCTTTGGCAGTCCCTTTGGCCTCTGCCGGATGGTTTAGTGCACTAGATTTTTCTTTTTTTGGAGTAGAAATTGAATTTAAATTCCGCATGGGGATCTTGATAATAAACTCAATTAGCATGGGAAGTAATGTTTTTTTTTTTTTACCAAGATACTATATACAGTAAAAGAAAATATCAAAATGGTATATCGTATGAGTTATTTCCCAAAATACTACATTTAAAATTGTTTAGCAGAAAAATGATTTTTAAAATTAATCACCCCGAGAACGATTTTTTTAATGTATAGTTTCTCATGCTCCAATACTTGTTCTTGGCAGAAACAATTTATCAACTTCATCTATCTTATCCCATCATATGATTTGTTTAATAATTTAGTAATCATTTAAATAAAAATGATGAGTAAATAATTGTTACTAATATGATTAAGGAATTATTATAAGGTGTATTAAATTAAAAATTATTAATAATAAATAAATAAATAATAGGTTTTATGAAAATTAATAATGAATGATTAAATTATATGAATGAAAAGTGAAAATTAATTTACCTCACAAATAGTGACTTCTAGTGCATGTTATGACTGTTGTTGTTGTTGTGTGTTCCTCTCTTCTTGAAATTTAAATATTTCATTTATATGTGTATTTAGCGTATTTAAATCAAACTAAGGTAATTCAATTAAAGAAATTGATTGTCAAAGGGTAGCATATACTTCATTTGATAGTCCGCCATGTTCAAAAGTAGAAGTGTTATATTCAACAAAAATAGTATGTAAGGAGACTCAAATTGAGTGGGATTGGGAAAGGTAAAAGGAGGTGATGATAATGATAAGGCTAACATATAATAAGATCGACTAAAATTTTGAGGCTTTTGTTTCCTTATATTTTTATTTTTAATTGGTAGTTGGGTAGATTAGTAGCCACCACATCGTTTGCTCAATTTATCTCGAGAAATTTGTGAATAAGACAACTCAACTCTTGGTGGAATAAGCTGAGAGTTCCTATTAAATCATTGTTCTCTCATTACAAGTAAGATGTTGCGTAAGTCTTGAGCAACTCTATCTCGATAATCAATATAATGAGAGCATTCTGAACGAGAATTAATCGTCATCCTGTATAACTTCTCTACTATGTCAACCTAAAATAAATGATAAGACCTTAAATTATAACTCTCTTTTTAAAGAAAAAGGATGGTACAAGTGGACGAAGGTGAAAATTCTACTGCATACTCAGTATCACTACTAATACATTGGATCCATCGTTGGATATGTTTCTAATACCATTGCATGTACTCAAATATTCTATCAAACTCATTGAGTACTGGAAAAGCATCAATAATAGTAAGTGGTTATTTATCCCATACTTGAATGAATATAAAGTTTTTTCAAGTCCAATTTGTAGTCATTATGCCTTGTAATTGAATTGTGCAATAATTTTTCAAATAAACAAGTATGAAAGGAATTAGTTGCTAACAATCAAATTGTCTTAGTACACGATTAAGGTTGTAATATTCTCAAAATTTAAAATTAATTAATTAAGCTTGATTAGAGTAATTAAGTTTATTAATAAGGTGTGTAGGAAAAGAAATATAACGGGCATGTTTGGTTATAATTTTAGCCCTGCATGATAGTCCAAAATGGAGTCAGGACATCCAAACATGAAAGAGTAAGAAAATCTAAAAGGTGAGGTTTTGTGCCACACACCACGACTCATGAATGATCTATCGCAACATATGAGTGCCATTGCACTTATACAGGACTTCAGTGCATGATCACTTTTTTAAAAAAAAAAAAATAAGAGTGTATCAAATGCGAAAAACAAAGAAGAAACAAAGGAGAAGTGAAGGAGAGGCAAAAGAACTCTGCTAGAGCTTGAGGAATTCAGACATTAAGAGCATATTGAAGCTAAAAAAATACTTGAGGTAAGGCTTTTAAGCTCATTTCTTCCTTACCTCTTCCATTTTCTTGATTTTAAAAGTTAGGGTTTGGTTGAAAATGATGATTTTAGGTTATGAGCCCAAACCCATTGATTTAAATAAAATTAATGAGAGTTGTTTAAGTTATGTAAATCTAGCATTTATGGCTCTAAGCAATTTTTTTTAGAGGTCAATAATGAACGAAAATTCATCATTAATGAGGTGGTTGAATATGGCTCCATTAATGGCTATATAAGAGTCCAATTAAGTTAATGTAAGTCAAAGGAAGCCAAAAAAAACCCTATAGGTACTCTTATATGAGAAGAGAATGAATCTAGAAGTATTTGAGTTAGTAGTGAAAATTATCCAAAAAGGGACATTGATGAAATATATTGTGATTTATTGTAGGATAATCATATTAGCACCATTCAAGTTTCAGGGAAACTTTGGAAGCATGTAATTAAAGGGTAAAACCTTTAACCTCTCAAAAGTTTGAGATAACCAAGAAAAACTCTTTCTCATGCTTTTACGTGTTGATTGATTTATTGTTTTAAAATGTTATGTTTGGAGTATGTGAAGTTATTTGAATTGCAATGTGGCATGAAACATTTTAAAAATTTATTTATGAATATGTGAAATGGAGTTCCATGATTTTGTGTGATGGGATGAAATCTAATGGATTAAAAAGTTAAAAGTTCAATGAAAGTTGTGTTTTATGAAAGTTCAATGAATTTTTATGAAGTGAAGTGCAATGATATGTTTATGTGTTAAGTGGAATTCAACAATTAGGTAATATAGGAGTTTAATGACATTATGTGTTGTGGAATTCGATGATGTTTGTTAAATGTAAACATGAGATATTATACATGCTTGGGTAGTAAAAACTTGCATGTTGTGAGTTGTTGCATAAATATGCATTGCATGACCATGAAAGGTAAGAATTCGCTTAGAAAGAGGAGTAAATAATAAAATTCATGTGGAAAGGCTTCCATTAGAGTTCAATGGTTAGCCTGAATTTATTATTTATATTGTTTCCATTGTTTAATGAAGGACTATCCTACTACTTCAACGAGAATCATGTGTTAAGTCCTGTTTCTACATGAAAAAGTATTATTTCAATCATTATTCATAAGCATGCATACTATAAGAATGTGACTTATACTCTTGAACATGTTAAATGATTTAAAATTAATTATTTTTTTCACTTGCATTTAAATTGATTGATATACATTAATATGAGTTAGATGAACATTAGTTACTGAGTAGTTATATTCATTCCACTATATTCAATATTATAGAAAATAGCTCAAGAGGACAAGATAGAGGAAAACAGCTAGAGGCATAAGATTATCATCTTTATAGTAGTAATCCTTTACTTTTAAGCATTTATGTGTATATTTTGAATGATATTGTCAACTTGAGATAATTCAAATTGTGATTTACTTGCATTATGGATTTTTGTTAAATTATAGTGTACTTTGGGCCTTGGAGTGTATGTTATGGATTGTAAGATTTATAACAGGGCCAAAATACTGTTATAAGCAAAAGATGTGCATGACATGTGATTTATGTGAATTAATTGATGAATTATGTGATTATGGCTTCCCTTTATGTTTTTGTGATCAAGGGGGTTGAGCAATGAAAATGTATAAGTATTGTGAGTGATATAATGCATTGTACAGGTCCATTTTAGTCTATTAAATGTAATTTAAGTGGTGTTTATAGCTTTTGGTATTTGGTATGAGTTTTAGACACTCAAGTATATGAAAATGGTGAAAAAGAAGAAATTTTACAATGAGTATCCAAGTTTCCATTAAGAGATAATTTGAACTTGAAACCAATGTCAATAGTTAGAGTTAGGAGAATGCTTTCTGTAGATACTTAGATCACATCAATCGGACGTCGAATAGAGAAATGGTGCTAGTTGGAAGTTGCCCCGGGTGTTGTCATGAAGCGTGTAATGTGCCGTGACATATTTTTCTTGAGCCGCG